AGCTCCACTAAAATCAGGACCAAGACAAGACTGCTTACCATACCTTGCTAGAGCAACAAGACAACTAATGAAGACCAGAGGGATACAAATTGGACAGGAAGAAATCCAAGTATTGCTTTTCACAGATGATATGATAGTATTCATATTCATAAGCAATCCCTAAATATCTACCAGAAAATAAGTAAAATGCCTTTAGTGAAGTGTCTGCCTATAAGATTAACTAAAAAAAAATAATTAGTGTCTCTCCTACATACAAATGACAAACAGGCTAAGAAAAATGTCAGGCAAACAACACCCTTCACAATAACCACAAATAATATAAAATATTTTGGGAGTAGTTGTAACCAAGCAAGTGAAAGACTTGTATGACAATAACTTCAAGTATTTGAAGAAAGAAATTGAAGATGTCAGAAAGTGGAAAAACCTCCCATGCTCATGGGTCAGTAGGATTGACAATGTAAAAATGACCATCTTACCAAAAGCAATCCTCAGATTCAATGCAATTCCCATAAAAATTCTTTACAGACCAAAGACAATACTGAACTTCATGTGGGAAAGAAAAAGAAAAGAAAAGAAAACAAAACAAAAAAACAGGATAGCAAGAGCAATCCTGAAGTATTGTCATCCCTGGTTTGGAGCTCTACTACAGCGCTATAGTAGTAAAAGCTGCATGGTATTGCCATAAATGCAGAAAGGTTGAACAACGGAATTGAATTGCAGACCCAGACATAAATCCACAAATCTGTTGACCTGTTTTTTTTATAAAGAAGCCAGAAATATACAATGGCAAAATGAAACCATCTTCAACAAATGGTGCTGGTCTAACTGAATGTTGGCATGTAGGAGAATATAAATAGATCTATATCTATCACCCTGCACAAAACTCAATTCTAAGTGGATTAAAGATGTACACATAAATCCAGATACACTGAACCTGATAGAATAGAAAGTGGGGAATAGTCTTGAACACATTGTCAGAGTAGACAACTTCCTGAGCAGAATACCAATAGTGTAGGCCTAAGATCAACAATTAGTAAATGGGACCTCATGAAACTGAAAGGTGTCGTGTAAGGCAAAGGATACTGTCAACAGGACAACAAGGAAGCCTGGAGAATGAGAAAGATCTCCACCAATCTCACGTCTGACAAAGGGCTGATTTCTAGAATATATAAAGAACTCAAGAAACTAGATATATAAAAAATCCAAATAATCCAGTTAAAAAATGGGGTACAGAGCTAAATAGAAAATTATCAACCGAAGAATATCAAATGCCAGAGAAACACTTAAAGAAATATTCAACATCCTTATCCATCAGGGAAATGAAAATCAAAATGTTTCTGAGATTCTGTCTTACACCTGTCAAAATGACTAAGATCTATAACACAAGCAACAGCTCATGCTGGAGAGGATATGCAGCAAGAGGAAACGCTCCTCCATTGTCAGTGGAAGTATAAACTTGTCTATCCACTTTGGAAATCGATATGGCCATTACTCAGAAAATTGGAAATTGATATACCCCAAGACTCTGCTGTCCCACTCCTGGGCATAAACTCAAAGGACACTCCATCTTAGCTTAAGGACATCTGCTCAATTATGTTATAGCAGCTTTATTCATAGTATCCAGAAACTGGAAAGAACCTAGATTTCTTTCCCTCAACCAAAGAATGGATAAAGAAAATGTGGTGCATATATTTACATGATGGAGTATTACTCAGTTACTTAAAAAAATGATATCATGAAATATTTGTGTTTGTTTTGTTTTTTGAGACAGGGTTTCCCTGTATTGCTTGGAGCCTGTCCTGGAACTAACGCTGTAGACCAGGCTGGCCTAGAACTCATAGAGATCCGCCTGCCTCTGCCTCACAAGAGCTGGGATTAAAGGCATGAGCCACCAATGCCTGACATCATGAAATTTTCTATCAAATGTTTGTAAGTAGAAAAAAGAATCATCCTGAGTGAGGTAACTGAGACCCAGAAAAACAAACATGGTGTGATCTCACTTGTGAGTGAATAAAAGCTGTGAAGTCACAGGTAATCATGCTACAATCCACAGACCCAGAGGCTAAATCATAAGGAGGGCTCAAATGGGGTTGCGTGGATCTCCTTGGGAAGGGGAAATAGAGGAGATTTCATGGGTGGACTGGGGGCAGGTAGGCATGGACACAGGAGGGATCAGATTGGGGGTGGACTGGAGGGAGAGAGTACTGGGAGAGATGACTGGAGTTGGGGGATATTTCAGGGATGAGGTAAAAACCTAGTGCAATGGAAACTCCCTGTAGTCAATGAGGGTGACCCTAGTGAAGACTCCTGATAATAGAGGATACAGAACAACCTGAACCAACCATCTTCTGGCACCAAGCAAGGCCTCCAGAGCAGGACCTGGTACACCAACCCAGCCACGAAGCCTTCAACCTACAATTTGTCTTGCCTGCAAGATGTGCTCCGGTAAAGGTGACACAGAACTTGTGGGAGTAGTCAACCAATGACTGATCCAATTTAGGATGCATGCCACGAGAAGGGGCCCATGGCTGACACTGCTTGGAGGGCCAGGAACCAGAGGCTGGATACCCCCAGAGCCCTAGGATAGAACCAAACACAACTAGCAAAACACAAACAAGCAAACAAAACCAGCCAATTAAATGATTTCTAATGATATTCTGATATACTCTTAGACTGGAGCCAAGCATAATTGTCATCAGAGAGGCTTTATCCAGCAACTAATAGGAGTAAATGCAGAGACGGACAGCCAAACATTAGGTGGAGCTCAGAAAACCCTGTGGAAGAAGGGGAGAAAGGATTGTAGTAGTCAGAGGGGTCAAGTACATCACAAGAAAACAGCCCACAGAATCAAGTAACCAAGACTCAACAGGGGTCACAGAGACAGGAGTGGCAATCAAGGAGCCTATATGGGTCTGGTCTAGGTCCTCTTCATATGTTAGGGTTGTGTGGCTTGGTGTTCTTGTGGGACTCCTAACAGTAGGAGTGGGGGCTGTCTCTGACTCTTGTGCCTCTTGGCGCCCTTTTCCTCTACTGGGTTGCTTTATCCAGCCTTGACAAGAGGGCATGTGCCTACTCTTATTGCATCCTGTAATGGCATGTTTGGTTGACATCCCTGGAAGTCTTGCTCTTTTTGAAGGGAAACAGAGGAGGAGTGGATCTAGGGGAGAGGCAAGGTGGAAGAAAAGGACTGGGAGGAGAGGAGGGAGGGGAACTGTGGTTGGGCTGTAATATATGAGAAGTGAAATTAATTTTAATGTTTTTTTAAAAGCTAGGTAGTACTCATAGGACAAACCCAGGCCCCCTAAACATGGGTGTTAGGAGGCCTGGGCAGTCTATGGGGCCTCTGGTAGTTGATCAGTATTTGTTCCTAGTATACGAATAGACTTTGGGAGCCCATCACACATAGAGGGATACTCTCTCAGCCTAGACACATGGGGGAGAGCCTAGGCCCTGCTCCAATTGGTATGACAGACTTTGAAGACTCCCCATGGAAGGCCTCACCCTTTTTGGGGAGCAGAAAGGGGTGGAAAGGGGATGGGGGGAAGACAGGGAGGACCAGAGGGTAAAGGGAACTGGGATTGACAGGTAAAACAAGCTTGTTTCAAACACACACACACACACACACACACACACACACACACACACACACACTAGGTAGTACTAAGACAGATTCTCTTATGTACCTCGGTCTGTTTTCTAATTCTTTGGTTCCAGTGTCTATGACCAGAATCACAAGTTTCCCCTCATGTAACCATGCCTTCAATATTTAGTGAGGAAAGTCTGCCCCTCACTTCTACCCTCATGCTAAGCAGTTCTTTAAATTTTTCCTAATGCCCTTCTTATCCTCTCATATAAATGTTTCATTCATTTCCACCAACAACACTAGGAATACTTAAGTAATTACACTCTTAGCAGTCAAGTGAAAAATTATTGCAGTTCTTTGGTTGACGTTATTTTGTTGTTATTAATTCATTTTTGACAATTTTCATACATGTATGTATATAATTCAGTATTATTAGCCTTTCCTCTACATCTCCCATCCCTATCAGCACTCCATTCTAACTCCAGATTCATGACTTGTAGTTTGTTTTATGACTTTTTAGCTTAACCAGGGTCATCTGTGCGGTCATTGAGTTAGAGAGTACCCACTGGAGCCTGAGTGTGGTCACTAGTTGGCAATACAACTAACTTCCTAACTGTATCTGTAGCAAATAGTTCAGTATGATGGATAGGAACCCCCTGAGCCCCTCCCCTCTGCCTGACTGCTAATGGCTTTATTTCTATACCAGATCTTGTAGAGGCATCGAAACTGCGAAGTTTGTTATTCCAATTTGCATTTAAGCAGGAGCAGATCATATGTAAACCAAGTTCTCAGGAGGCTAGGCAGAAGGAAACTTACAAGTATGTGACCAGTGGGCTCCATAGAGAGACCTTGTCTCAAACATAAGGCAAGCACCCCTGTCACCTCAGTGGGTGCCCTGCAATGCTTGAGACAAAGGTCCCACTCTCCACCCCAGGCTGGCCTTAGGTCACAGCAACCCCACGCTCCAGAGCTGGTGCTACCCTCACCCTACCCTATGGCTCCTCAGTCTCTCAGAGTCTCACTTTGATTGTGGATGCAAACAATTTATGGAGCAGGGCCCTGCCTCTCCCCACCCTCAGGCCACCCAGCAATCACCTTCCTGCCCTGAGACTCAAGATATGGATGTTGTCCAGAGGCTTTCTAAAAACCCAATTTCGTTTGTGCACTTTTTATTTTGAGAGGTGGGGTCCCAGGTAGGAATATGCCCACAATAAGTTCAATCACTGTTTGGGAGGAATAAGAAAAACAAACAAGGGGAGTGGGGAGATGGAGGGAGAAAGGGGAAAGAGGAAGATGGCCCAGTACCATCCCTGGATGAGATGGCTCTTCATTATAACTTTTTGTGCAATAGCTGGTCCACAGTGTATTAGTAAATGAAATTTAACATTTTAAGGTGGATTTTTACTCTCTTTTCCAGCTTTAAAATCTGAAGGAGATGATTACTATATTAATGGTGCCTGGACTATTGATTGGCCTAGGAAATTTGATGTTTCTGGAACAGCTTTCCACTATAAGAGACCAGCAGATGAACCAGAAGTCCCTGGAAAAAACATAGCCTTAGGACCCACCTGAAACACCTCATTGTAATGGTAAATGTGTCTTTGTCATTATATTTTTACTGTAATTTCCACATTATGAGGTAGAAAGGCTCATGTTTGATCAGCTCTATTTTCTAGGGGATGCAATTAAGGTAATGAAGATAAAATGATTTGCCAGATAACATTTCTCTTTTTATTTTTTATGTGTTTGTTTGCTTGCTTGCTTGCTTGTTTGTTTGTTTGAGACAGGGTTTCTCTGTGTATCCCTGGCTGTCTTGGAACTTGCTCTATAGACCAGGCTGACCTCCAACTCAAAGAGATCCTCCTGCCTCTGCCTCCTGAGTGCTGGGATTAAAGGTGTGTGCCACCACCCACTGAAAATTTTCATGTTTTCTTGAGTAAAAGCTTTATGATTGAGCAGTATGAATGAAAACAGTGACAAACTACCCATGGACAGAAAGAAAAGAACATTATATAAAAACTCATGTGCTTTGACTTTGTCTTGAAGGCCACTGAGATGCCCCATCAGATAAAGGCATTTGTCACCAAGCCTGACAACCTGAGTTCAATCTCCATGGTTCACATGACTGAAAGAACCAGTCTGGCAAATTGCCCTCTGATCTCTGTACATGCTCCAAGAATCTGTGCATCACCCCCCAATAAATAAACAAAATGTAGTGATTTTTTTTCTTAAGTTGTCTTGGGTTCAAGGTCATCCTGGACCACAGAGTGAGACTGTCAGAAAGCTAAAGTAAACAAATAAATGTTCCAAATTCCCTGTTAGACTTGCCCTATGGCATTATCTTCTTCAGAAGTAAGTATCTGAATGAAGGCTCATTGTATTTTAATTATCTTCACCAGTTGTTTTCAATGGCAGTTCTACTCCAAGAACAGAATTTGGGAATTAGGTACAAGTTCAACGTGCCCATCACTCGACCTGGCAGTGGAGATAATGAAGTTGGCTTTCTGTGGCACCATCAGCCCTGGTGAGAGTGCTCCGCTTCTGTGCTGGAGGTAAGACACCCACTAGGCAGCCCACAGCTGGCAGTGTGGAGAGTGCAAAACCTACTCTGAGCTGTGATTTTGTTTGCTAAAGAAGCTAATTGAAACATTTTTGCAGGTTTGCTTCAAGCTGTAATTTAACAAAGAAACTTTGTAATTATATTACATTCTGTCTGTTTCAACCTCATGTAATTTACACAGATTTGTTGGTAAAATACATCTTGGCACAATTAGTATCTGCTGGTTCTTCTCCAAGACTATCTTGAAGGTGGGCTGTTTGCTTTTCATGAACACATTCTTGGTAAAGAACATCAAGAGTTTTAAAGTAAAAACCAGCAAGAATCAGACGTCACAGATGCAACTTGTTGTAATGGGGCATGAGAATGTATGTGTGCTTGTACGCTTGTGTTTGTACAATTGTGTGTTTCCCACAATCCCATTCAAACTCCCTTCTCCAGCAAATCCAAAGTTAAGGGGCAATATACTGGGATGCTGCATAAAATTACTGGTCTGGTCTCTAGGCTAATGATGTTTAGTGACCCCATTATAATCCTCAGTGAGGTAGATGTAGCTGGTAGGCAGTGGTTGGTGATGTGTTGGTTGTCCCATGTGCGTTTTCATGGGTGCCTTTTCCCCACAATTTACTCTATTCCTAATCCTCCTCCCTCTAGTGGCCACCAATGCAATTCTTTACCTCTGGCTGGGAGAGCAGGACATTGGCTTCCTTCAAAGCCAACGCACGCACTGCTTCATGGACTGGTGAGTAGAAGTGCTGTGCAAGCAACATCTTCCTTCTCTCTGGAGACTAAATGCACCACCTCCACCATAGAGCTTTATTACAACAGGCAAAGGCAAACCCATCCTTCAAAGCCAGGGAGGCCTAGAGTGCCTCACCATTCCAAAAACCAAAGTATACATTCAAAATAATAATATTTAGAATGTAGAAATTGAAATAAATGACATATTCCCATTCTAAACTGTGCAAAAAGCATATGCATTCCATGGACCTCTGTCCATATAGCCACTGGATCTCCAAGTGTCTCAAGCATTTGAATAGGAAAAGAATATGACAGAATCCATAGTTTGAGTCATAAAAATTAAAATCATCCATTACTATAACTCTACTTTCCATAATAAAGACTATACAACGTGAAAAATAAAAGGATGCATAATACTCTATTGATATTAACTCATGAAATATCATAAAATATGGCTAATCTATTTTAAAGTTCTCCTGTTCCCACCCATTTTATGTATAAAATGTTTGATGACTCATCATATAAAGTTTTCAAAACTATAATGCATCACCACTTCTTTTTAATAAAATAAAATGACTAATACGACTGCAGATCATTTCTCAACTAATCACTTTTTGTTCCCATAAGGGCCATTGCATTATATTTAGTGTCATTTACATAATTCTTTGTTTTGTGCTAATTAAATCACTCCATGAATTAATCTATCTACCAACAAAAAAGTCATCATTAGGATAACATATATTTTAAGTAGTATAAATAAACTTATTAAGAATAGGCTAAATTTATTAAGGATGAGTTCAAATCATTTTAAGTTATAGGCATTCTAATAAGGATGCTCTAAAGCTGAGGTCAGCTGACTTGGGGAAGAAAAGACATAGTCGTATCTTCAAGTACGCAATAGAACACTGACTGGGAGCCCTACTGCCTGTTCTCTTGCTCAATTGTTCCATTTGAGGGTGGTTTAGACACAATCTTGTCTGAGGCCAAGGAGATACTAAGTGAATTTCCAATGTTGTTTCAACTCTATGATTCAGCTTATTCAGAGAGCACATAGCCCAACAAACATGGGAGAAGCTTAATTCAAAAGAAGACTATGAGTTTATTAAAGTAAAAATTTAAATGACTTATTCTTTCCATAACATTCATATTGAAAAATGGAAATGATGTGTGGATGAAGAAAACCCTAAATAAGAAAAGCCCCTGGAGGAGGGTTTCTTTTCCATAGCATAAA